CTCGGCCAGCCATTCCGCCGCGGGCTCCGTGTCCCTGCCGTCGACCTTCGCGGCGCGGAGGTGCTCGGGCACGCTCCCGTGGCGGAGGTCGTAGACGACGCCGCCGTGCCTGCTGCTGCCGGCGTCGGGAGATGGATGACGCCCCTCGAGCCTCGAGGGCCGAGGAGCCTCGACCTTCAGACGCGAGGATCGGGGGTTGAGGACCAAGGATCAGCAGGTGGAGGATCGAGGGTCCTCGAGGGATCCTCGATCAAGGCATCGATGATCCCTGGAGGGGGCCTCGAGGGACCGAGGAGCTCTTGAGGCCCCGAGGGGTCTCCAGAGGTTCCTACCGCCGCCCAGCAAAGTTCCAGGAAGGCCTGGAAACGCCCCCAACCCTCGATCCTCGACCCGAGGCAACCGTCAGGGTTGCGAAATAGTCGGCGGCTTCTCGAGCGCGTCTGGCCCTCCAGCCCCGACCCCCGACGCCCCCCGCGCCTGCTGGTGCTGCGGCCTCCGTCCCCATCGAGGCTCGGAGCTCGAGGGTCGAGATGTGCTTCGACGTCCTGCGCTATTTGGCAGCCTCTGGGGAGGGAACCTCTCGTCGCCAGGGCTGGAGCCTCCTCGAAACTCGGAGCAGAACGTGCCCCAGGACAGATCCGGTGGTCGGCGTTCGACTCGCCACCCCGACCCTCCGACGTGTTCGTTGTGTGCTTGGGGGGCCTTCTGCACGCCCTGGGGCCTCGACAAAGACAGCCATCCGACCGAAAAGCTGGCATCCACCCAAAGGCCACGGAGGCCGCCCGACGAGGGTCCGAGCAGGATGGGGTCGGAGGATCGCGTCGCATCGCCGATGCATCGGCGACGTCGGCCCCGATCGCACCAACACACAAACCTTCGCAAGAGCTGCGCGACGCATCCAAAACAGAAACCCCCCTCGGCGCCAAACGCAACGCGGAAATCCGAGCGCCGCCCTGCCGTCACGTCCTGCAGAGTCCCTCGCCACCTCTCAGGGCCCCCACGCCGAAACAAACAAATAAAACGCGGAAGAAAACAAGAAGGGGCCGCCAGTACTACTGACCGACCTAAACGCACCGCGGGAGAAAACCTTGCAAGAGCTGCGCGAAGCATCGCATTGGCACTGGGTTCCGTCGCGCTCAGCACCTCCTGACCCCCAGCCGCGAAAAGGGGAGGCAACCCAGACTCTGACCGGCAACCCCTGGCTTCGCACAGGGAGGGGGGGGGCGGGGGCAGAAGACCCCCCCCCTTCGAAAGGTGAGCCTGGGCCCATCTGAGAGCCCAAGGGAAAGGGGGGGGGGGGCTTCCAAAGGAACCCAGAGCAAACCTCCACTTTTCACCGGAAAACTTCCGATTTTCCAGGGGACCCCAAAACTTAAGGAGTTTTAGCACCGAAATAGGGGCTTACAAATATGTTTTGCTTGTTAGCCCCCCCCCTACAGCAGAGGGCGGGGGAGCTCCCGAAGCCACGCCCCCTTTGCAGACGGGCAGCCCCCGCGCACCCCGGCGGCGAAGAGGGCGGGGGCGGGAAGCGGCCTGAGGCCCCCCTCCCCGCCCTCTCCCGGCTTCTCCCTTGCCCGGCAGGGGGTGTCCGAAGCCCCCCCCCCCCCCTTGAGAACTGGGGGGGGGGGGGCAGCCTGAAGCCGGGGCCCCTCTCGTGCTCTTCGCGCCCCCCGCCTCCCGCAGCGCGCCCTTCCGTCGCTCGCTGGCTGGGCACACCCGCACGGCCCACCATCTTGAAGCGACGGAGAACGGATCCGACTCCCAACGGAACTCATCGTGGCTTGCCACTGCACGTGGCAGAACGTGAGATTGTTGTTCTGACCCCCACGCACCGTTCACGGAACCAAGCAGCGAGCAAAAGCCGGCAGCGGCACAAGACGCGCAGGGTCCTCCCGCGAACGTGGCCGAAATTCTGCGAGAGAGGCCGCGCGGGGAGAGGGGGAAGGAGGACGGACAACGTGGCAAAACGCGGGAGTGCTGGCTCGCAGGCGGTTCCTGGCACGACGAGGGAGGAGGAGGAGGAGGAGGAGGAGGAGGAGGAGGAGGAGGAGGAGGAGGAGGAGGGAGGAGGAGGAGGGGGAGGAGGAGGAGGAGGACCAGGAAGAGGAGGGGAAGGAGGAGGAAGAGGAGGAGGAGGACGGACAACGCGGCGGGACGCGAGGGTGTGGGCTCGCAGGCGGCTCCCGGCACGGCGAGGAGGACGGCAAAGGGGGATCGCCGATCCGGCCGCGGCGTCTCTCCCGTGGCAGGACCTCGAGGCCCGGGAGATCCGAGCCCCCCCCCCCCAGGTCCCAAACCTCTGGCGTAGGGTCGTGCCTGTCCCTCTACAGGGGGACCTTGAACGAAAATTTCAACAAAAAAAAACAAAAAACAAAAAAAACATACTATGTATAGAGATCTAATGTGTGTTTGGTCTTTTATGTGTAACACATTCTACAAAAACATACCAGAAACAAAAAGACATGTTCTGACGATTGTTGAACGATTTTTGAAGAATCCCCCTGTAGAGGGACAGGCCCGACTTGCCTCTGGCGCGGTCCTGCTGGCGTCACTACTCCGTTCTGCGACCTGCGTAGCGTCTTTGCGCAGGGCGCGCGACACAGAAAAATGGCATGGCAGCCCACCGCGGGCCACGAGCGCGGCGCGGCAGGCCGCGCGGACAGGAGGGGCGGGGCCCCGAGGACGAGGGGCTCCAACGGAGCAGCTTCCACCTGGGGCCCCAGCCTCTGCACCCCCGGTGTTGTGAGCGCTTTCTTCTTCGGCGGTTCGACACTGGGCGGGAGTGAGGGGGGGGGGATGGGGGGGAGGGCGGGTTCTGGCTCCAGGGGGGGGGGGGTCTGGCTCCGGACCTCTGCTCAACGCGACGGGCTGCAACGGTGCGCCCCGTGGGGTGGGAGGCTCATCCTGCCTGACGCAGGCGCCATAAGCAGCCAAGATCTGCTCCATTCAGCGGTGGACAAACCTCCCTTTAGCAAACCTCCCCTTAGTGAAAACGGCCTGGGACCGAAACCGACGGACCTGGACCCGCAAAAATGACGGCCGCGACGCCCTCTCGCGAACCGAAAACGGCCAATTCCTTAATCGACGTGTCAGGGTTGGAGGTCTGTCCACCCCCGATCCATGGGTGGGGGTGGGGGGGGAGGGGTGCGAGGGCCCGCGCCGATCGGCAGAACCGTGCGAAAAGGACGGCCCGAAAAGCGCCGTCCGTGTCGCTGTCTGGGAGAAGCCGCTCCCGCGAACCTCCGGCAGGCCCGCGAGGCCTCTGGCCGCTGGGGCTTGCCGCGGGCTGCCGCTGCAGCCCTGACCTTCCAAGAGGGCTAAAAAATAGCACGCGACTTAAAAACCTATCCCAAGGCTATTCTACGTCTTGGTTTTAGGCTGTTTCGCTCCGTTGTTTTAGGTTTTCAGGCCTCCAGTGCTAAAAAATAGCTCTCTGGAAGTGCATGCTCGCATATGGCTCGTCGGGGACGCCGAGGACAAGAGGGCACGCAACGCCGGTGCCTCGCGCTGGGCCCAGTCCGCTGCTCCTGGGCCGCTCCTCCTCCTCCTCCTCCTCCTCCTCCTCCTCCTCCTCCTCCTCCTCCTCCTCCTCCTCCTCCTCCTTGTCCTCGTCCTCGTCCTCGTCCTTCTCCTCTCCTCCTCCTCCTCCCTCCTTCATCCTCTCTCCCCTCCTCCTCCTACCTCCTCCTACTCCTCCTCCTCCTTCCTCCTCCTCCTCCTCCTCGTCCTTCCTCCCTCTCCTCGTCCTCGTCCTCGTCTCTCTCGTCCTCCTCCTCCTCATCCCCTCCCCTCCTCCTCCTCCTCCTCCTCCTCCTCCTCCTCCTCCTCCTCCTCCTCCTCCTCCTGCAGCTGAAGCGCACTCGTCGTCCACGGGGCTCAGCACGGCGGCGGCCGTGCTCCAGGGGCACCGGCTGCAGGCAGTCTGGGCAGATTCCTTCTCGGCGGGACGCTGGTCTTTGAAGGGGCCCCAGGACACACAAATAAATACACACAAATAAAAAGATTCCCCATATGTTCCTATATGTTATGGGTTTTTGTTCTTCCCCCCACTTACCATACTTTCCCATATTTTCTGGGGGATCGACGATTAATTGTGTCTGTGTGTTTCTTTCCCTCCTGATCCTTCTCGGCGGGACGCTCGTCTGTTCTGGTGAGACCCGCTCTTCCAAGCAACATGCACGGTTTGATACCTCTGCCTGCAGGCAAGCCTGGTGCCACGCGCTCGGTCGACCTCCCTTGGTCCCGCGCATTCGCCCCCTCCTGTCTCCATGGTCCTACCAGTCCGCTTCCTCATCCGTTATTGCGTTGATGCCTAAATTTTGATGCGGATCCAACCGTGGCGACGGGAAGCTTCTTGGAGGTCCAACTATAGCCAGAGACGTCCAACAGCCAAAATCCGCGATCTCGGTCATCCCCTCTTCCCCTTCGGGGATCAGATCCAAGCAGAATCAATCCCCGGACTTCTCCCAAGGTTCATCTTGACAATCTCGTCCTGGGAAATCTCGGGGCCCGAAACGGGCCAGAACAGCTCAAACATATCGACTCTTCCGAAAACAACTCATTACATGAATATGAAAGGTCGGAGGTCCATGCGGACTTCTTGGATCGGCGCTGGACCCCCCTCCATGGCGCGCTCCACGAGCCTGTGGCGGCGCAGGAGGCTCCAGTGCCAGTCCCCTGCGCGGAGTTCCGAAAGCTTATCTTAATGCATTTGTTCTTCAATCCCTCCTGCCCCTTGACAAGGGCGACGACAACGACTACGACGAGGTCGACAATGACGAAGACGACGACGTGCCTGCTCTTGTAGACAGACGGGTCCGCGGCCACGTCGTCCCCTTCGCCGTCGTCCGAGAGTTCCATGGACTCGTCCGACTCGCTGTCGGTCTCCTCGTCGGACGACTCGCTGGAAGAGTCCTGCAGACCAGAGCGCCGGCAGCCAGGGCAGCCAGACCTCCAGAGTCTTTGACGGTTCGACCTCTGGCCTCGCCGGGCCCCCGGGATCGTCAAAAACGACCCCAGATAGAGAGTTGGCCCTGGGGAGATGGTAGGAACTCTGGCTGGGGAGGGCCGTCGGATTTTTTTATATAAAAAAGCCTTGGGTGTCTGACCTGGGCAGAATGTTCGAGGTTAGACCATGTATGTGCGTTCCTCGTCCTTTCGGGGCCCCTGGGATTTTCCTCGTCGCCAAGGCTGGATCGGCATCGAAACTTCAGCTATGGAGCAACCCTGGACAAGTTCGGGGGGATTCGATTCCTGACCTCAGGGCCCCGTGAACGAGGACTCTGGCAAACCAGGACACTTGCACGCCCGGTGAAACCGCAGCCAAGCACCAAAACATTCCTCCTCCTCCTCCTCCTCCTCCTCCTCCTCCTCCTCCTCCTCCTCCTCCTCATCCTCCTCATCCTCCTCCTCCTCATTCTCCTCCCAGTCTTCTTTTTCTTCATCTGGAACTTTGGGGATCCAGGTCTGCAATGCCCTGGAGCCTGCCCGCGCAGGAGATTCATCTTATCCACCAGTCTGGAGACGCAGGCCTGTCAACAAGATACAGTTGGACTTAGGCCAGAAGGACATCCCTCAAGAACACGAAAGCCTCAGCCGGCAAAGCACACAGAGAACATCTGAGGGCACCCTCCCCAGGATGTACAAGAACATCCAACGAACACCAAGAACATTAGGATACCCTCCCCGAACCGACCTCGATCTTCTACCTCGGTCCGACTGTGTGCCCAAAGGGGGTGTCTGCCATGGCTTTCTCGGAGGCTGCTGAAGGTGCCCCTGGCTGAAGGCGTTCCCAGGGCCCCGTGAGGGGAGCTCTGGAGGCCGTGGAGACCTCATTGGAAGTCTGGGGGGCACCTTGGGCCCAGGATACGTCTGGCAACACGCGAACCCATAATCGGGAAAGCAGACCCTGCGGTCCGGACATCCTGTTGGGGCTCGAGGGACGCACCCGCGAGAACCCCGGGGGCACGCCGGGTGTGGCCACGCTTCCGCCTCCGGAGGCGCCCGCATCTCCGACGCTGCCCGAAGTGAACGGGAGTCCTCCAGACCGGTGGAACTGGGCGAATGCACTCGGGCATTCGTTCACGGGGAGGGGGAGGGAGGGAGGAGGGGAGGAGGGAGGGAGGGAGGGAGGGAGGGAGGGAGGGAGGGAGGGAGGAGGGGGGAGGGAGGGGGGGAGGGAGGGAGGGAGGGAGGGGGGAGGGGGGGAGGAGGGGAGAGGAGGAGGAGGAGGAGGAGGAGGAGGAGGAGGAGGAGGAGGAGGAGGAGGAGGAGGAGGAGGAGGAGGAGGAGGAAGGAGGAGGAGGACGAGGAGGAGAGGAGGAGGAGGAGGAGGAGGAGGGGGGGCATGAAGGGGGGGATGACGAGACAGGCGCCGTCCCAGCACTCTTCCGGGCGGCGCTTGCAGCTTCATAAGGCTCGAGGGCCCTTCGGGACCGCTCTCCTGCCAGGCCTGGACTGGGCTCTCCCGGGCATCCGAGGCGTGGAGAGCCCTGGGGAGGTGGCCATGAGCCGGCGTCTGGCCCCTGCTCCCGGCAGCGCTCTGCGGGGAGGGGGGCGGCGGAGGCGGGAGGGAAGGCGGGGCGAGGGGACGCCAGGAGGGGGAGGGGGGGAGGGAAGGGGACGGGAGGAGAGGGGGTGGGAGGGAGGCGAGGACTGGTCAGGGAGGCGGGAGGGGGAGGGGAGGTCCCCTGAGGAGGGTCCCAGACGTCCGCGAAAGAGGCATCCCGAAAAGAACGAAGCGCGGCCCGAAAACCTTGATTCTCTATCGTGGATCCTGGATGGGCGGGAAGGTGCGAAGACGCAGGGGGTCCTGCGTCCAGGCGTCCAGCCCCCAAAAGTCCCGACGCCCTCCTTTGCTGCGGGGTATGCAGCCCAGCTTGTCGTCCCCGACCCGCTCCTGATCGCCCCCCCACCCCCCCCGCGAGGCCGCAGGGAAGAGAACGGTGCCGGGAGCGGACAGGAGAGTTCTTCCAGACGTCTGGGGGGGGGACCCCGGCACCCCGTCGAGGTCTGAGCCCCCCCGCGTCCTCGGCCCCGACGGGGTCGAACCCCGAGCTGGACGAGCTGGAGCCCGACCTGCGGCGAGGGCGGCAGGGGAGCACGAGGGGCCCGTGGCCCAGGCACCCGCGGGGCGGGGAGCACACCCACGGCCACGGCCCCGCGGGCCGCTGCGGATGCCACGCGCTGCGCGAAGCGCAGCCATGGCATCGCACCGCGATGCCAAGACCGCCCCAGGGCCATCCACCAAGAAGAAACAACGATTCTGGTACCCTTCACGATACAGTCGGGGCGTTGACCTAAGGAACCCTAAATAAGGAACGGGGCCCCTTTCTCCCATAAGTCCCACCAGCCCTTTGGGCGTGAGTGGTTTAGGGAGCTCTCTCTGTCCTCAACCCCCCTTCTTCCCCTTCGGGGAGGGGTTTACCCCTCCCCCTACCCCCTCCCCCTGGACCTGGAGAGGGAGTTCCGCGGGTCGTCAGGGGGGTCTTTTTCGACGTCTGGGAGGGCCAAAAAACGACGACCCTCACGAGGATTCTGGCCCCGAGGGGGGGGGGGGGAGTTTGGTGCCTCAGCTCGTCTTTGAAGCAAAAATCATTGATTTTACTAGGGTTTTGGGCCCATTTTGGGCTTCTGAGGGGCAGCGCTCATCGTCCTTCATAGCAAAATCATTGATTTTACGAAGGTTTTGGGCTCATTTTGTCCTTCTCAGGGGGCAGCGCTCACTTGCGCTTCTGAGGAGGTCGCAAGAGGCCCCAAGATGGCCCCAAGAGGCCCCAAGAGGCCCCCAAGAGGCCCCCAAGAGGCCCCCAAGAGGCCCCAAGAGGCCCCCAAGAGGCCCCCAAGAGGCCCCCAAGTGGCCCCCAAGAGGCCCCAAGAGGCCCCAAGAGGCCCCCAAGAGGCCCCCAAGAGGCCCCCAAGAGGCCCCCAAGAGGCCCCAAGAGGCTCCAAGAGGCCCCCAAGAGGCCCCACGAGGAGCCCGAACGACTCACACCAGGACGAGGGGCCCGAACGACTCACACCACGAAGAGCCCGAACGACTCACACCACAAGGAGGGGCCCGAACGACTCACACCAGGACGAGGCGCCCGAACGACTCACACCACGAGGAGCCCGAACGACTCACACCACGACGCGGGCCCCGAACGACTCACACCACGAGGAGCCCGAACGAGTCACACCAGGAGGAGGGGCCCGAACGACTCACACCAGGACGAGGGGCCCGAACAACTCACACCACGAGAAGCCCGAACGACTCACACCAGGACGAAGAGCCCGAACGACTCACACCACGAAGAGCCCGAACGACTCACACCAGGAAGAAGGGCCCGAACGACTCACACCAGGACGAGAAACCCCAAACGACTCAAACCACGAGGAGCGCTTTCTCTCCCTCCTCCTCCGCCTCGTCCTTCTCCCGCTCCCCCCACAAGGAGGATGTACAAGGAGGCGGGAGGAAGGAGGAACAGGGGAGATATGCGGGGCCAAGCGGACACACGCCTGAAAAACACGACTGTCGGCATGCTTCGCAAGAGTTGCTGCTGTGAGATGGGCTGGTGGGGATACGCGAAGCGTAAAGAATTGAACTTCGATTTCCCATAGAAAACCTCAGGAAAACAGAAAGCAAACTGTAGAACCATCAAGGAACACCGAGCCCCTCCCCAACGAAAAGGGTTCCTTCTTCAGGGCCCCAGCTGTAACGCCCGTGACTGGCCCCGCACCCCCCCCCACTACCCACCCACTCGTCAGGTGACGATCCGCGCTGGCGCCGTCTGGAAGTAGGCCATCCTGGAACATTCCCAGACAGCGGTGGGGCGAATTGTGACGTGACCGACCCTCCCCCCCTCACCTGTCACGCCAATTATCGCCTGTGGGAAAAAAATCTCCATCTGGGGACGTAAAGCCGACCCCAGGGAAGGGATCGAGAGCCCACGGCATGTTTCGAGCCAGATCGAGCCACGAGGGTCCCAGGGCGCGAACCCATGCGAAAACGCCTGGCACGACACAAACTGCGACGCCCAGATCTCACGGCAGGAAATGTGTTGAGGAGAAGGGAGGAGGAGGTCAGGTGACTGGAGGGTCGAAGCCTGATCCCTACCTCGACAGCTTGGGTAGCCTGGCGGCTGCTCGAGAGGTCTGGCCAATGGCTCGGGCCTGGTCGGGGGAGACAACGCTCACCCCCACACGTCGAATCCCAGACCTCTGGCAGATGGTGTGGTTTCCAATCCCAGGCCTCCGGAGACCACTTTCGGGGCCCAGGATCATCAGACACGGCTCTGGAACGAGAGGCTGCCCCCAGGGAAGGGGTAGGCAGCTCCACGGGGCCCGCGGATCGAGCAAACCAAATTGTCCGATGTCGAGGTTTCGCCGCGCACAACTCGGTGCGCAGGAAAATCATCATCGGATATGTGCAGCTGCGTCATGAAAGAAAGAGCTGTCCCCACAGAGCTGAGGGCTCCTCCTCCTCCTCCTCCTCCTCCTCCTCCTCCTCCTCCTCCTCCTCCTCCTCCTCATCCTCCGCTTCCTCCCCCCACTCCTAGCCCTTTCGATCAGGGTCGGCGGCACCGGCCGTCAGGCCTCTCCAATCATCATCGGATATGTGCCGCTGCGTCATTAAAGAAAGAGCTGTCCCCACCACAGAGCTGAGGGAGGTACACGAGGAGGCGGTGGGAAGATACCCATGGCCCGTAGCGTGTTATTGTAGGTTGGGGAATGGGACCGAAGTGAAACGAGGTCGTCCAAACGGGAAGAGGCTCGTGTCATGCAAGCGGGCGAGGCGAACCCATCGCGAGTTTCAACAAGATTTAGGTCCCAAACGCGCGAAGAAGAATCGGTAATCCGCCTTGCAAGGCGTGCCCCGAATTGTCCCGACGTTGTCACCTGGTGTCATGATTATATGCATGGCAACGCAAACC